AGTGCATCCAGATCTGATAGGGACCTTGGCTTGCAACCACTCCTGTGTCTTCTATTGGAGACATTCCCTGCATGGCAATTTATTGGATCATGCCAGTAAGTTTTCTTGTACTGTTTCCAAACCCTTGAGGTAGTTTGGTTGACATGTTGAACAGTACTGTGGCATCCTTCACAGCTCCCCTTCAAAGAAGAAGCTTGTCTTCATGTTTACCACCACTACTCCTCCTCCTTAGGTTTTGTAGCAGGAAGTGAACAACTACAATTTGTTGTCCATTAAAGCCTGAGCTTCTTTTGTGGACTTCTATCACTTGCATTGTTGCTTGCAGTATCGCTTGCCATATTGCTTGCCATAATGCTTGCTGTATTGCTTGCTGTGGTATTGCTTGCTGTGGTATTGCTTGCTGTGTTGCTTGCTGTGTTGATTCCTGTAGCTAGTAGTGTTACTTGATACAGTATCATAGTTTGCTAAAATATCATTGCTTGTTGTATTGCTTGCTGTATCACTTGCCAGCATAGTGTTGCTTGTTGCAGGAGTGTCACTAGTAGTAGCTTCAAGATGCTCCATCACATCAGGTACCATCTTCCTGCTTGTTGATTTGCTTTAGAAAGAACCAGCAGCGGGGAGGAGAGGAAGCGAGTTAAAACAAGCAGCAGCAAATCAAGGTACAAATAGAGCACCCACTGTATGTTGGTTGATTGCTTACAAGTTGTCAGCAATTCACCCCTCTTAATGGAGGCAACAGAGACACGTTTCCGCCCTCTTAATGGAGGTAATAGAGGCGCCAAGCAGAAGGCAAGTCAATGGGTCCCCTATGAATGGAAGCAATGTAGGTGCAAGGTGATGGATCCCCTATCAACAAGCACAATGGGAGTTGATGGGTTCCCTATGAATGGGAGCAACAACAGAGGCAAAAGTTGATGGATCCCYTATCAGCAAGCGCAAGGCAAGCTGAYGGATCCCCCCCTATGAATGGAACCAACAGATATGCAAGTTGATGGATCCCCTACAAGCAGGCACTAGCTCTGGCAAGTCCCTTACTACTAGTTGAGGTGCAAGGCAAGTTGATGGATCACCTATGATCAGTATCAGCACTGAGTCACTTGAGTTGCATTAAAGAAGGCTTGAAACACTGGTCTTAGTCAGTTGAATAGAATGAAGAAGAGCAAAAGAGGAGGTGTGATAAAATCAAGAGTTAAATTATCATGTGAAAAKAACACAAG